AACTGTTTAAGGGGAGGAAGCGAAGATGAAACCATAGTAGATAGCCGGGAGGGTGAGAGTGAGCGTAGGTTACGTCGAAAGATGACATGTGGAGGGGAATGTGTTGTGTCTGTTTTGGGTCTGTAATATTGGTATCACTTTATTTTAAGGACCAATTCTCACCATTAACTAGTTGCTTATTAGCATGCATATTACTAGCATATTAGCTGTTTATTAGTACTTATAAAGCACATGTTAATGCATGATCATATTTTAGATGCCTTAATCCGACCCCATACCCAAACTTAACAATACCTTACTAACTATGAATAAGTTAGTAATAATTAATAATTATGAATTATTACTTACTAATAATTAATAAATCACGTGGTAATTTTCATTTTTGGGTGAACTAACCCTTTAAGCCCTCGTCTAGCGATCCCAATGCTCCAAATAATAATCAAACCTCTACATAGATGCAAACTCCTCACCTTTCAGTGACATCTCACTTTTTTGAGATCAGAATAGGTCACCTATGAGATTTGCTTAGATCCAATGTCTAAAAAGATGTCTAAAAACGTTAATATTTTATGTGTTTGAGGTCTGAGATGTGGGAACGGTGAAGATAGCGAGGGCAAACATTTTGCATTTTAGTTTAGCATTGCCCTCTAATCAGCCAATATTGCCTTAAATAGCCTGCATAGCACTTCATCTTTTATAACATGGGATTTTGACTAAATATATTTAATCTTGATTTTTGTAAAATGATGCAACAAGATGATAATTTATTTTATTTTATTTTATTTTTTACATACATACATGAAAGTTTTTGTTATTAATTAAAGAATAATTTTGCTTAAATAAAATTAAATATTTAAAGTTCTTCCCCAATTCTCAAAAATTGGGATTATATTTTTTTTGACCCTGTAACTCTAGCGCTCTCTATTCTAATTCTATTCTTTAAAAAAACTTGCCCCTTTTAGACTTAACCTCTATTCATTTACTAACTGCTTGTTTTCTTTAAAGAAAAAAACTAACACTAGCTTCTCTATTCTTTTTGTATTCTATCTATTTGTTTAATTTTTATTTATACAATTAACAAAAAGCAAAAAAAAGGCCTATATCACTAGCTTGCTTTATTCTTTTTCTATTCTATCTGTTTTCTTTTTATTTATTATACAATAAAAAAAAACCTTGCTACGTGTATTGCGTTAGGCTAACTGAGACTTGTTATAGCACTTGCATATCTTTGCTCTTTTGTTGATTTTGATTGCTTCCATTGTCCTCATTTGTAAGTCGCTTTAGATAAAAGCATGTGCTAAATGACTAAATGTAAACCTAATTCTGTTTAAGCCAAAGAAATGACTAAATATAGCAAATTAAATCAATTCAAGTTATTTATTCCTCTGTGTAGATCTTAAATCTTTATGGAACCCAAAAGTTTTTGCTATTTTAACAAGCCACAGAATCAGTCCCTCCCCGTCTGTCATCGTGTCCCGCTCACCTTCTTGGGACACTCGTCAGCAATGGGTCCGATGCAGGCCTGCATGCACGCCGCTCTGGGATAGGTGGCATCATACACCCCTCTCCACGGCGTGACAGGACGGGGCGGTTTCCAGCGGGACGCCGCCACAGGAGGATCGGCGAATGGGATCCCATAAAACACATAGGACTTGTCCAGCGTCAGGCCCTGGATGAGCCCGTCTTTAGTCAGCAGCTTGGGTCCGGCAGCAGCAGTCTGTGGGCCGGTGAGCGGCTGATCTCGGATCAGTGCTGCTGAAGAGACGCTGCGCAGTAAAGCTGCTAGATCCATCTGATCATCTGAAGCAGATCCAGTGCTGATGAACACAGACACCACCATAAACAGACCCAAAGCATGCATATTTACTCCTGCTGCTTCACTTCGCTCCGGTCGGGATGGACTGATGCACGCTGGTCCGCAACTGGATGGACGATTGCTCAGTTTGAGCTGCTTCAGCACTTGTGACTCTTATTATGCTGCACACTGAGACTCTCTGTGTGTGTGTGTAATGACAAGCAGACTGTCTGTGCTTTAGAAAATTAAATCACATTCATTCATTCCCTTGGTCTTGATACTACAAGTTGAATCAGTGATTTGCCCTCTTAGACACAAAGTTATGAACTAATTTCTGATTTATGTGGCACTCTAAGTTTCTATAAATAATAACATGGTACATGCAACAACAACAAAAAAAGACGGCTCAATTATGCTCTTTAGTCATATTATTTCTAATATTATTATTAAGTCATGATGACACTATGATTACAGTAACTTAATCACAACCATCAGTGTATAGCAGTCATTAAAATAACATCAACTAATAATTAACTAACATCCAAGAAATTATAATTGTCAATAAACAAATCAACCAATGTAGGTATTACAGAAGAATATTGTAAATACCTTTAATTAAATTCCTTGAAGCTACAGGAATAGCTTTGACAACTAAAGAAAATTGTCTATAAGAATAATCCAAATTAATTTCATCTTAAAATGATCATAACTTAACATATTACACTCTTCATCCATTAAATGCATTAAATTCCAAACTCCTTTGTCAAACCAGTCTTTATAAAATAAAGATTTCCTCTTATGTAAGGAATATACACCTGTTATTCCAAATTGCAACATCATGTGGAGTAAAATTATGCTTGTACAACATTTTCCAATACATGAAAATCAGATAACTTAAAAGGCAGTTTTGATGGGTCAAAATCACATCTTAAAAGAAAGGAAATTCCTCCAACTCTTTGGAAAAGATGAACAGAAACACTAAACCATGAAGACTGTTCATCTCTTACAAACATTTGTAAGCATCTTGACTTAATAACCTCGTTCATTACTCCAAAATCAATTGCATTCAACCCTCCTTGCTCCGTTAACTTCACCATATCACCTTTTCAAATCAAATCTTGCTTATTATTCCAAATAAAATCATAATGAATTCGGTCTATTTGCTTAATACACCTGTCTGGCACCACTAACGATGAATATGCTGGATAAATTAATTTTGATATCTCTTCCATTTTTGTTAATAATATTCTCCCACAAATTGAAATATTTCTTTGTAACCAGCTGTGCACTTTTTTATTTTTTTCAAAACATCTGTAATATTATTATCTTCCCTGTCGCTGAAATTTTTTGTAATAGTACGTGATCTTAATTTTGACTGGAATATTATATTAAAAAAAATGTTGTCTATTATCTTGAAGTCTATTATCCATAAAGAACTTTTAACATCTGAAGAACCTTTCTGTTTCAAAGGTTCTTTGTGGCGAAAGAAGGTTCTTCAGATTATAAAAAGGTAAGAAAGATGGTTCTTTAAAGAACCTTTGACTGAATGCTTCTTTGTGGAACCAAAAATGGTTCTTCTATGGCATCGCTGTGAAGAACTTTTTAAGCACCTTTTATTTTTAAGAGTGTACCTACTCAATCAGTGTTGGCAACTTAGCAATTTTGTTGCTAGTTTAGCAACTTTTCACACTACCCTAGCAACTTTTTCTTCAAAAAAGTAAAAAGCTCGGAACTCCTCCTGTAAACCCCGAGACGCCTTCAGCGAAAGATACGCGCCGCTCGATCTGAACTCTGCTGATCTGACTGTGATCCTGGAGAAACACACTCAGATCATCACTGGATCCTCACCTTGTTGTAATATTGTGTTTATTAGTCAATGTGTTTATATAAAAGATGCTTGGTTTCAGATTTTGTCAGCGTCATTATAAAACCTGAATCATTTATTAGACTTTAGTTTGTAGGAGACGAGGAATAAGAGAGGTGGAGGTGTTTTGGATAAAGATGTCCTTCATGACATGTTTTTTATTATATTTTTATTTATGTGACAATAATGCTAATAAAATGCACCATTTCACTCGTTTAAACTGGACAACCAGAGGTACTAATTTACAAAATATCACCCAAAACATGTCCAGTTCATACTTCACACCATTTCAAGCCTCTTATATTTAATATTTTTATGGCATTTAAGCACATTTGTCCCAATAAATAAGTTATTTATAAACATATATATTATACATTTATTATTATCAGTACAAGTTATTTATAGGTTTTATTAAATCTTAAATATTTTGCTTAATTTGTAAATTAAGTACAATACTTAACATTTAATATTAAATCGATATATAATGTATTCATAAATAAATATTGTACATCTAATATATTTTAATATTATTATAAATATAAATATAGATTTTATATGATTATTAAATATTTTACTTACAAATTAAATAAAATATTTATTAAATATTTTACTTATGAGTTAAATAATATATTTAGTGTTTATTCTTATTATATATATATATATATATATAAAATATAATTTTGTTTACCTTTATAATGTATAATATAATTGTTCAAAATATATTAATATAAATATTCAAAATATATGAATATCACCTGATTACCATGATGCATCCAGATGTTTTTGTTTCTCATTAGATTCTTATTACTGTAAAATAATAAAGTTTTTTTCTTTATTTGGAGTAAATTAAAATCAGTACATACAAATATAAACACTTTGTAATAAATAAAGTGACACTTTACACTACATTTAAATTGTTAACTTAATGCATAAAGTATTGTGAATTAAAAATGAGCATATTACATCATTAAACTAAGTTAATGTTAAATTATAAAAACATTTGTTCACTGTTAATTAATGAGTTTAACATTAATTTAATATTAAAAATGCATTTGTAGTATATTTAGAAATTACCCTAGATGACTAAAGTAGGTTCACTTTTAGTTCATGATATCTAATGCATAAATGACAGTGAACTAAATTTTATTGTAATACAATTTCTTATATAACATAGATTTTATTTGTTATGGTAATGAGAATTTGTGGAGGAAATGTGCTCAATTGTCATCAAAATGTCACTAACATTTTTTAAAGCCACTTAAAACTTAAAAATATTTTTCAACATTTTTATTGAAAAAGATAAGATGGAAATATCCAGAGAAAATAAATTTTTTATGTATTTTAACTAAGCATCCAAAAATTCAATTACATGTGTGAAGGAGTTATTATACAAAGTTATTTTACAATCAGTAGGCATCTTATTCCTTATCGTTTATTATTCTTTGCATTAAATGTGCATCAGAGCGTTAATGTTCCTCTCTGTCCAAGTGGAAGTGTGGCTTCGGCTGAATGTGGACTTTCATCGTTTTGTGGTTGAGTTCAGGCTGTTTACTCATATGCAAACAGATAATAACGGCGCTGTAGGCAGTAAACGCAGGCAAACATGAGCGGGACTGATATGAGTCTGATAATCACAACCACCAGGCAGAATGAGCCGCAGGAGGACAGCGCTGGGTCCCAGTCTGGAGTCCAGTTATAACCTACACACACACACACACACACACACACTCTGTTATAGCTGTCTGCTGCCCAGAAATGTTGAGCCACTCTTACAAATGTCTGAATGTCTTCGTATTGCATGTTGCATTGTATTAGTGGTGACCCAAAACAGAATCAAAACTCTAAACAAAAATAGGAACAAAATAGAAAATTTCTGTATTTGTAAATGCATAAGCAACGGAAACATATGGAAGCTTATTAACTGCAATCTCACAATTCTGACTCTTTCTCACAATTCGTAGAAAAAAACTTTAGAATTGCTAGATTTAAAAAATTGCAGTTACCTTATTTTTATCCCATTGTAAAAAAAAACAGAATTGAAAGATGTAAACTCCAAATTCTGAAAAAGTTCAATTTGTGACAAAAAGTTAAGCAATTAAAAATTGTATTTATTAATTCCATGGTGGAAACAAACAGAATTTTAAGATGTAAACTCAGAATTCCGAGAAAATGTACAGTAAACTTGGAGATTCAAAGAAAATGTAAGTTAGTATTGCGATTGCCTTTATTTATGGGGGAAAAAAACAGAATTGCTAGATGTATAGATGTATTCTCAGAATAACTCTGAGAGAATTCTGAGAAAAAGTCAAAATTGTGAGATTTGCAATTTGAAGAAAAAAGTTCGAATTGCAAATCTTTTTATTCTGTGGTGAAAAACAATTATAAACTTGCAATTCGAATAAAGCTAAAATTAGAATTGCAAGATAAAAAGTTGCAAATACCTTTTTTATTGTGATGTGGGAAAAAAACAGAATTGCAAGATGTAAAGTTGCAATTCAGAGAAGAAAGTCTGAATTGTGATACATGGACTTGCAAACTCAAAGAAAAAAGTTAGAATTGCTAGATAAAAGTTGCAAGTACGCTTTTTATTTTTCTGTTTCATATCAGAAACAAAACACTTCAGTTTAGCGACCAATTCTCACTATTAACTATTTGCTTATTAGTATGCATATTACTTGCATATTGGCTGTTTATTAGTATTTATAATGCACATATTGATACCTTATTCTGCATGACCACAATAGATCCCTTAATATTCCCCATACCTAAATTTAACAACTACCACACTAACTATTTATAAGCAGCAAATTAAGAGATTATTGAGAAAAAAGTTAGTTAATAGTGAGAATTGAACCTCAAACTCAAGTGTGACAAAAAACAGCATTTCGAGATGTAAGAATTTTGAGAAACAAGGTTAGAATTAAAGTCACAATTAAAAGAAATAAAGTTAGAATTGCTAGATCTGAAGTTGCAATTTGAACAAAAAAAATAGAATTGCAAGATAAAAAGTTACATTTTATTTTTATTTATTCCATGATGGGGAAAAAAACATAATTGTAAAATGTAAACTCAGATTTCTGAAAAAAAAAAGGAAAAAAAAGTCAGAATTGTGAGATACAAACTCGAAATTTTGAGAAAAATGTCAGAATTATGAGATAAAAAGTTGCAATGACCTTTTTTCATATTTTTGTTTCTATGGCATAAACGATACTTTTAGTGTCTCTAAATATTAGGTGAGTTTCATTCTCTTCACTACACAAAACAATGCAGATTTGTCAAACTATGATAATCCTATTTAATGCATTTTTTTGTCGTCTTGTGCCACATGATCGGCTTTTGATATCAAAGCGTTGAGTGCAGATACAGACACCTGTTAAAGCAGTGACATCCAGACATTTGTAATTGTGAATGCAGTGAAGCAGTGCTTTGTGGGCTGACTGTAAACTCAGATTGAGAGATCAGGAGGAGACACTTACTCTGCGGCGCGTCGCGGGTGGAGTTTTCTGTGAAAGGAAGTGACAGTTATAAAGTAATGCAGTTATTGGGAAGGATGAGAGTCTTTTTGTTACGAACACTTACGACAGAGGTTGTTTGCACACGTCTCTTGTCTGCAGCCGCTGCATGAATCGCCTCTTCTGTACGGAGATACTGGATAATTTCCTCTGTTGAGAAGTCAGTGGTGACACGTTTACTGTGTGTAAATTCTATGAAATCATGCAGTTTCTTGCTTCTTCATATAAAGACTTTTTGTGCTTACCACACCTGCCAACAAGGTTTAATTTGTTAACATTACACTGGAAGAAAAACGTCAGAATTCTGAGGGGGAAAAATTTTATCTCAGAATTCTGAGGGGAAAAAAAAATTGTTGTGAGATTTAAATTAAGAATTAAAAAAAATATATAGAATTGTGAGATGTAAACTCAAACATTTGAGAAAAAAGTTCCAAAATTGTGATATTTAAACTTAGAAAACAGAAAAAAAACTTAGTATTGTGAGATATAAACTTACATATACAGATATAAGGAATACTGAGAAAAGTCAGAGTTTGCAAAATGGAAACCCATAATTAAAAAAATATATATATATATCAGAGTAAAAAGTCAGAATAGCAAGATGTAAACCCAGGATTGTAAGAGAAAAAAAAAGACAAAATTGTGAGATACAAGATTGTAGAGAAAAGAAAGTTCAAATTCAAGATGTAAAATCAGAATACAGAGGACAAAAAGTCAAAATTGGGAAATACAAATTCAGAACTCTAAATTCTAAAGTCAAAATTGTGGGATGCAAAAAAATTTAAATTGCAAAATATAAACTCAGAATTCCAGAAAAATAAGGAAGAGTCAGAATTGTGAGACGTAAATGCAGAATTCTGAAAGAAGAAAAACAAAATTACAAGACTTAAATACAAAATTACAGTGAAAAAAAGTCTAAAATGCAAGACTCCGAATTCAGAGGACAATTGCGAGATGGAAATGCAGAATTAATAGAAACCTGTCAAAATTGTGTGTAAACTCAGAAAGCAGAAAAAGTCAGAATTGTGAGATAAAAAGTTGCAGTTATCTTTTTTTTTTTATATTCCAGGCACAAACAAGCTTCTGTACTTTCCTGACTTTTCTTGTGTAATGTAGTTAATAGCTAACATGAGATACCATCAAACAACACTTTTACATCATCTATAAGCAGATTAACATCATTTTATAAATAGTGCATGAACTAAAGTCAAATTTTACAACTTGAGATGTTAAAAATGTAGTTAATATTTTTAGTTAATCTTACCAAATGCAGTAATGTTAACAAATTGAACCTTAATATAAAGTGTTGCAGCAGTTGCTAACGACTGACGAGAAATACCATTTTATTGCTAAGCTGGTTTTACTGGTGTTTTGGCAAGTTGCAGTATTGATTTGGCACTCTGCACATGCAGTATGTTGTGGTTTTCATACTTACGCTGTCGCATAATTGCACACAAAAATTATTCCAGGCTTTGTTGAGAAGGTTGTTTCAGCCACACCATTGGGACACGCTTGTGCAGCGCAACCAACCTTGTACGAATCTGCCCAGACAATCTTTATGGACAGAAAACAGAGAGGTTTCATTCACTTGTGTGAATTCTCTAGTATCTGATTCAGCTGTAACTGGATCTGAGTCTGTACCTGTGTGTAGTGGCCGCATACTTTTGTGCACTGGTCTGTATCGTAATTGTAATCTTGGTCCTCGTCCTTCCACAACTTCACTGCAGATTCAGGTTTGAATAAGGAGTACGGCGCTCCTGCCCAGATGTTTTCTCCCACAGATGTGAATGTGGGATGTATCCTTCTCACCTCCCTGAGGTAAATGTTATGTTCAAAGAGGCAGAATCTGGCCCAGGCCCGCGCCGTCTCCGCCAGTCCTTCATCCCACGTCTGCACACAAACACATGCACGCACTTACCCTAAAACAGCCTTAAAACTCAGTTAATGTTCAGCTTGTCAGGCTGGGAGACCATTTTAAACCAGCCAAGACCAGCAAACTAACTTAGGCTGTTTTTTTCTAGAAGGAAATGCATGCTAATTACATAATCTGATTATAGGAAATGAAACAGGATATTGCACTAGAAGAAAAATGTTTATTGTAGTTTATATTTTACATATTTTACTTTACTGTGGAGTTTAAAAGTCTGAAAAAGTAAAAGTGAAAATCTTTTCCCCCCAGTAAAAGAGGATATTGCACAAGAAAAAAAAAAAACGAGGAATGGATGAGAAATTGATTGGATTCTGAAAAGCAAGCTAATTTGAAAAGCTCATTCAAAATATTAATTCATTCTATAACATTGTATAAGTGATACTAAAACCACATTGACAATATTGTAGTTTATATCTTACATATTTTACAGTGGTGTTCAAGAGTCTGAGGCTAAAAATGAACATTTTCAATTAAATTATATGAGAAAAAATAATATGAGTAAATAGTATACAAATAATACTAAAATGTGTGTGTGTGTATTATATATATATATATATATATATATATAAATA